GTAGAACTGCTGTACATCTGTGCAAAGTTCTACGTTGAAACCAGTCAGTCCGTCAGTGAGTTAAGTCTTCATTCCTTCTAGTTTCTCCTTTGTGAAACTAATTTGTATTGCAGTATGAGCCAGAATTCTTAAGTTGTTTCGGTTTGTTTTTCCATTTGTCACACACTTTACATACTATCAAGCTGGAACTTTTTTTCTTCACGTTCCCCAGTGAAACATAGGGCTTCAAGCTAGTGGCTTGAAGTTTCTGTAGCAGTGTTTACTTTACAGGATGGGGTTACTAGCCTCATGTCTAACCTTTCCTCTTTACCAGCATTATTTCTGGCTTAGCAAGGTTAAAGGAGTGCGTCGGCCGGGAATTGAACCCCGGACCATGTGCATGTTCGGCGAGCGTCCTAACCGCTATGCCACCAACGCAAACCTGCAAGTACTGGACAACTCTTTTGTCGTAGTGTGGAACTCTTTGCAGTACGCGCCATCGGGGTTTGAACCCAGGGCCTTGTGGTTAAAGGCGAGCTCGTATACCTTAAGTCACTGGGACCTGAAACTTATTCATACAGCCTAAATCGTCCATAAATAGTTGGCTTATTTCGTTTCTAACTCATTGTGCATCGACAAAGAGGTATTTATCTCTCTGTAGAAATTGGACATTGCGAATGAAAGTGGTATACTTTCTAAGACCAACGATTACGTTTTAATATCTTTATTTGTCTCACTTTCTTTTCCCTTATCATACAAACAGCTGATTAAATTGTAACCGTTGTCAATTGTATATGGCTTATACAAGTCGAGGTGATGCTAGCGGTATCTTAACAACACCAAATTATGTGCTGGATACAAATCTTGGCAGTAATAAACTACGTGTTACAATTCAAATTCAAGGTTTAAAATCATCAACTGTACTAGAATTTCAAAAAAAGCTAATTCCAAAACTTTATAAAAAGCCAACTAATGGTGAAATTGTATTCGATTTACACGATAACGGTTTTCTATTTGAATTTCATGGTCAACAGGCATTAAAAGATCAAAATTATTCCCTGCATATTCATCAATTACCCGGTGTATTAGATTATAAACGATCACAGTTAATTGTACGCGAAGATGCTGTCGAGATTATTTTAATAAAGGCGGATAATACTTCATGGTCATCATGTGTAATTAATGAAGGTTTAAAGATTGCTGAAAATGTTAAAAAATAAACTTTAATTCAGTTTAGTATTGGTTGTATACTATATCACACCGGTGTATAGGTAATATATGTACATACGTATATACACAGATGTGTGTATTTGTTAACTTTCTCGTCAAACAAACCTGCTTTTATTTGCCTGGGTTGCTCCTATTCTCTCCTTCTCTCTCTCTATCTCTCTCCGTCTTTCCTTTATGCAGTTTATTTGCCGGATACTAAGTTAAGCATTGCCTATTATGTTGACTTTTGACAAGTAAATAATTGCTTTCGTTTTGTTTTTTGGTGCTTTGTATACTCCCAGTGATGATGTTGATGACAATCGCAGTTTATTCCTTACTTATTATTATTAATTTTGTTTTTCTTGACCGTAAAGTATATTTATTTTTTTGTTAAGACTACTGTTGTAATATTTATTCATTTATTGATTTAATTCAAGTTAATAAGATAAAAATAAACATCTTTGTTTAAGTTGATTTTGTTCTTTCGGTTGAATCATTGAACCGAAATGTTCTATGTCTATGTTGATGCTTCAAAGATGTCTTAAGCTGGTTTACATGGTGTTATTTAATAGAATGGTAGATGAATAAAGTTTTGGCGTTTGAAATGATGTGTGCTATTTTCGATTTTCATAATTTATGCGAGGACTAGGATACTCATCGGATGATCAGACCGAAGCAGATAGTCGTATTAAAGGACCACTTTCCGAGCTTTGAATTGTGTAGCCTGATCTATAATGTAGTAAAGCAATATCAGGCGGTAGGTTCCCATGGTTTTCCATAACCAAAACACGTTCATACACCTTACCATCCAATCGGATTCTGGAGCCCATGTACACACCGCAGGTTTGGAATTGGGTCTTTGTAGCTCCCTAGGTAGACCACCATATCCACCGGTCCGGATATAAGCGTCAGACGTTCACTTCTGCCCCTTCACTTTCGTGAGGAACTCCGGTTCGCTGCAAGAAGGAAGTGAATACGACTTACTTCTAGAGATGGCACATCAACAGTCGCAGTCATACAACAATCCTGTTACACCTTGCGCGTCCATTTCTTTACATGATGTACCTCATTCATCAGATTCCACACTCTTCGTCAATGAAACAACCATTGCTGCCGTTGAATCCAAATGCTTTTTCTGTGGTAATCGTAGACATCCTCGTTCCAAATGCCCCGCCCGTGATGCAGTTTGCAAAGCTTGTGGCAAGCAAGGACATTTTCAGAAGGTTTGCAGGTCTGCGCCATCTACGAAAAAAGGTCCATCTTCAGTTAACTCTATAATTTCATCTCTCGTTGTGGCTTCAGCACCTCAAAGTCTCACTGATGCTGTTACGCAGCTTACTGTCAATGGGAAATCAATGCAAGCTCTAGTGGATACCGGAAGCAGTGAGAGCTACATCTCTTCCTCAGTTGTTCGTAAGTATAACTGGAAAGTCCATAAGTCTCGAAACAGAATCACAATGGCGAGTACGAATCTTACTAGTCATACTGAAGGACATTGTTTTCTATCCATCTGCTATAAAAACCACACTTATGATCTATTCAAATTTTCCATTCTTCATAATTTATGTGCAGACGTCCTTCTTGGACATGATTTTTTAAAACTTCACAAACACATTGAGATTCCTTTTGGGGGATCAAAGCCGCCTTTTTCTCTCTGTGGTCTACCTTGTGTTCGCGTCGACCTGCCTACTCTGTTTGAAAATCTTTCAAAAGACTGTAAACCGATCGCGATAAAATCCCGGCGTTATTCTCGTGAAGATGAAAGTTTTATTTCCACCGAAGTCAACCGGTTACTGCAAGAAGGTGTTATTGAACCTTCTAATTCTCCTTGGCGAGCTCAAGTTCTTGTTACGTCAAACGAACGCCATAAAAAGAGGATGGTAGTTGATTATAGTCAGACAATCAATCGATTCACTTTTCTGGATGCTTACCCATTACCTAGGATTGACGAAATGATAGAAAAAATCGCACAATATGACATATTCAGCACTCTTGATCTGAAGAATGCTTATCATCAAATTGCCCTAAGGAACGAAGATAAACCATATACTGCTTTCGAGGCTTGTGGGAAACTTTACCAATTTTGCCGAATTCCTTTTGGTGTTACCAATGGCGTAGCTTGTTTTCAACGCATTATCGATGAATTGATCAGTAAAGAACAACTCACAAGCACGTTTGCCTACATTGACAATGTCACTATCTGCGGCAAAACTCAGGAGGAACACGACAAAAATCTAAACAAGTTTATGGTAGCAGCACGCAATTATGGAATAACCCTTAATGATTCCAAAAGTGTGATCTCAAGCAGAAGCATACAATTACTCGGTTATGAAGTTTCAAAGGGGGTTATTAAACCAGATCCCGATCGGCTAAAACCTCTTCGTGATCTAGAACCACCCACAGATATCAAATCTCAACAACGGGCCGTTGGATTATTTGCTTATTATTCACAGTGGATCCCTCGCTTCTCAGATAAAATCCACCCATTGGTAAATAATCGGATTTTCCCTCTTGATATCGAAACTCGAAATGCTTTTGACAAACTGAAAGACGACTTAGAACGTGCAGTCGTTGTGGTAGTTGATCCGAAAGCACCCCTTGTTGTTGAAACAGATGCTTCAGATGTCTCAATTGCAGCTACATTAAACCAGAATGGTAAACCTGTCGCCTTCTTTTCTCGAAGCCTCTCTCGAACTGAGAAACATCATTCATCGGTTGAGAAAGAAGCCTATGCCGTGGTTGAAGCAATTCGTAAGTGGAAGCATTACCTTCTCGGAAATCACTTCAAACTTGTCACTGATCAACGTTCAGTAGCATTCATGTTTGACAAGATTCATAAAGGCAAAATCAAGAACGATAAAATAATGCGTTGGAGAATTGAGCTATCCCCTTATCAATATGACATCATTTATCGTCCTGGAAGGGATAATCAAGCTGCTGATACATTTTCCCGTAGTTTCTGCGGTTCCTTGCAGTCAGTGTGCGACTTGAAATTTCTCCATGACTCTATGTGCCATCCTGGAGTTGTCCGAATGATGCATTTTGTACGCTCGAGAAACCTTCCATTCTCCCTTGACGAGGTGCGCAATGTAACCAGTAAATGCGTGACATGCTGTGAGTTAAAGCCTCAATTTTACAATCCCTCTAATTTCAAACTCATAAAAGCAACCCAACCTTTTGAAAGGTTAAGCATCGACTTTAAAGGACCTCTACCGTCAGCTAGCCGCAATCACTATCTGCTCACGCTGATCGATGAATATTCTCGATTCCCCTTTGCATTCGCCTGCCCCGACATGTCGTCTCAAACGGTAATGAATTGCCTTTGCCAACTGTTTTCGATTTTCGGTATGCCTTCTTACATACATACCGACAGAGGCGCTGCTTTCATGTCTACCGAATTACGGGCATTTCTTCTGGAGAAAGGCGTAGCAACCAGTCGTACTACCTCATACAATCCTCAAGCCAATGGGCAGGTCGAGCGCCTCAATGGAACACTTTGGCGTGCCATCACTCTAGCATTAAGATCACGGGGCCTACCAACGGCACAATGGGAGTCTGTTCTACTCGACGCCTTGCATTCCATCAGATCTTTGCTCTGTACTGCAACGAACGCCACGCCACACGAACGACTGTTTACCTATAACCGAAGATCGACATCTGGGACAACTCTTCCTACTTGGCTCACTGTACCAGGACCAGTACTTCTCCGGCGGAGTGTTCGTCAGTCCAAATTCGATCCCCTGGTTGAAGAGGTGGAGCTATTGAATTGTAACCCGCAATTCGCTCACGTTCGCTTCGGTAATGGACGTGAAGATACAGTTGCTCTTCATCATCTGGCACCCAAAGGCGAAGATATAGATCAAGTTGAAAATTCAATACCGGAGGGCGACGCAATTCCTGAGCAACAAGTAAATGGGGATGCGACCACTGATCCTAATATTCTTCGTGAAGAAAATACAACTGAAACGAACAACGGGCGTATTCTTTTGGAAAAACAACAACGTGTACGGCCTTACAATTTGCGTACCAGAGAAGCGTGACATAATGGCTCATTCCTTTTCAAGCCGCAGTGAATGTTGTGAACTTTTCTTATAATACGTATCTAATCATATTCATATCTCTACCGCTATTAACACTCTTTTTTCCCTTTATATGTTTAAGCCATTCCGGCTTCATTGTAAAATGAATAAAGCCTAAATTCTTGGTTCGTTCGTCCTTTCAAGATTCAAGCATCACTCATCGTTCTAAGACTCAGTCACCTTCGTAACAATCATTTGCTTACCACCTGTGATTTCCTTTAATAACTTCCACATATTAGATGGGGATTTACATGAAAGAAACTTCTGGTTATAGAGAGCATTCAATCTTTGTAATTCAAGCTTAATCAAAGTGTTCATTCTTTTAACACCAGATTTGTTTTTCATTTCGAACAACCTTTATTTTTCACGGCGGAGCTTTTTGAGTTGAGAAGAGGAGAAGCGATCGAATTTTAAGAAGGCTGTCTCTTTTGGACAACAAACATTAAGACAGAAGTTAAGATAATGTGTTATGTTGGTAATTGTGTTATCAAGAGCTTGTTCAGTAAATAAATCCCAGTTAGTGTCTTTTAACATGGACCTTAGATTCAGTATGTTGTCATGGGAATAACATCTGGGCAATATTCTTATGATACAGTGATCTGAATTTAGTAGTGGGGCTCTTTTTCGAGCTTCAAATATTCCTGCGTCATTTGTAAACACAAGATCAAGAAGGTTATCCATTCTAGTCGGGAAGTTGACAATGTTATCATGTCCAAGTGAAATTAGGAAGCTGGGATCACTAGAATTGAAATCTCCAGTAACTATAGACAAGGAATTTCCGAAGGAGGTGGCAGCAAGGGAGGTAAATTCATCCACAAATAAAGATAATTCTGTGGAATTGCATCCAGGAGCAATATAAATGTTCGAGATGTAAATGTAGTTGTATTTTGACAAATGTTTAGGTCAACACTTAACGGTGAGACAGTCAATAT